TTTCTTCAAAATCTTTGGCAATCCTCCCAACAGGAGGTGGAGTCAATGTCCTTCCTCTTGAATCTGGGCTGGCCTTAGTGACTCAGTATCACCAACAGGATGCAGCACAAGGTATACTGCATGACTTCCAAGGGTAGGACAGAAAAACCCATGCAGCTGCCACCTGGCTGTCTTGGAAAGCTTGTTCTCCAGGGGCCTCCTCTGGAGGTGCTCTCTTTTGGAACCAAGCCACCATGCTGTGAGAAGTCACAAAGGAAGGCCATACATAGATGCTCCAGTCAACAGTCCCCGATGAGCCTGTCCTTCAGTCATCACAACCCAGCTGCCAGACATATGTGTGAAGGACCTCCACCTTGGTCTGGCATCCAGAACTTTCATCTTCTCAGTTTAGGACCCAACTTTTATCCTGCTGAACAAGACTGGAGCTGGGCAACTAAGAAGCCTGCATTTCATCACAGAATCCTCTGCCACATGGAGCTTGGAAGCTGATCCTCCATTCCCAGTTGTGCCAGTCCCCAGTCATTTAAATCACCCCTGTTCTTTGAGTCTTCCTATCTGAGGTCCCAGGCATCCTCGAGCCTGGGGCAAGCCCACCCTGCTATGCCCTGTCCACACTCTTGACCCGCAGGAATAATAAATGGTTGTTGCTTTATGACACCAAGTTTTGGGGTGTTTTGTTACACAACAGAAGAGAATTGGAGCATATGGTGATTGAAGCCATCAGGACAGATGAGATCACTCCGGGAGAGTGTGTCAAGTGAAAACAGAACAGGGCAAATACCGTAGGGAACCCTACCCTTTAAGGGACAGGAGAAGTTGACTAAGAAACACACAAGAAACAGAAAGTTCGCAGGGAAAAAAGCAGGGTTCCCTGGAGATTGTAGTGTCATGGAAACCAGAGAGACAGTTTCAAGAATAAAGTAGTTGTCAACAGTGTCAAATGCTGCTGACCCGTCGAGTAAGATAACTGAAAAATGCCTTTAGGTTTAAGTAACAAGGGCAGTGTTGACTCAGCAAAAGCAGCTTCACTGAGAGCAGATAACCACGTTAGAGCTCTTTAAGAAGAGAGGAGCAGAGATGAGGATGAAGGAGGGGCTGGCCTTGGACAGAAGGGAGGCCACCTTTTCTCCTGTGACAGAAGGGAAGGCAGCGAGAATGCGTGCAGATCCAGGGAGGTCTGCTGATTTGGTCACAAGAAGTTCAGAAAGTTCCTTTCTGAGAGTTTCTGTTCTCCTCTGAGCTGGACCTTTAGAGGAAAAAGGGGAAGGAGTTTTTGTTCCCACTTTGCTCTCAGCTTACCTGGGGGCCACTTGCTTGGCATCGGCACTCCCTTAATGTCCTCAATATAGGATCCAACTTTTCCCATGCTGTGACTGAAGCTAGGCCGCTAACAATCCTGCATCTCATCACACAAGACCCTGCCACATGGAGCTCAGGCCAAGAAATGGGGGAAGGGGCAGAGAGGTCACTGCTAGACCTGACATTTTGGCTGTCTGCATTCCCAGATTCAGATTCTGTTGTGGATTGAATTGTGCCCCCCCAAAATATGAACTGAAATCCTGGCCCCTGTACCTGTGAATATGATCCTGCTTGGAAATAGGGGTTTTCTGTTGCTATGCTAATGAGACCCTGCCAGGGTAGGGTGGGTCCTAAACCTAATTACTTTTGAGTGGTGTCTTAGAAAAAGAGCAAAATAGACACAGAGTCACAAATACGGGGGAAGACAGACACCAGGGAATGCCGAGGAATGCCAAGAACACTAAGGAATTCCAAGGATTGCCGACAGCTATTAGATTCTGAAATAGATGAAGAAAGACATCTAGTCATGTCCCAAATTCAGACATCTAGACTCCAGAACTGTGAAACAATAAATTTCTGTTCTTTAAGGCCACCTATTTGTGATATTTTTGTTATGGCAACAGTAGGTAATTAAGACAGCCTCGTAGCTGTCCTTGTTTGGTGTTTAATCAAATTCTTTTGAAGTTGCCAACCCATGTGAGTTATGTCACAGGGAACCAAAGGATAGGGTTTATGCTCCTAGGGTGGGCTGGTGTGAGGGCAGCAGCAAAATCAGAGTGAGGCTCCAGGATGTGTGACACTCAGGGCAGAGTGGCCACAAGGCCAGCTGCTAGAAAGAGCACTCTCTTGAGTGTGGCTCTGATCAGTGCCCCGTTTTACTAATGGGGAAACTAAGTCTCCAATCAGAGGGACTTGCCCAGCATTACACAACAACTGTGATGGAATTGAGCCCTGGCTAAAATCCACGTGTCCAGTCTTCTCAGTGTTTTTCCCACAGTATCACATTGTTGGAACTGAGGCAGAAGCAAGGCAGAACAGATCCAGGGAGCCCTCTAATGCAACTGGGAAGTAGGCTAGGGGCGGGAGGCCTAGAGGACGGCTTGCTCAAGTCAACAAGGGCAGGTGCCTCCAGCCTCACTCCAGCAGACGGTCACGGTCACGTGGTGATTAATGTCCCCAGGCTAAAGGGAGCCTGTGTAATTAGAAACTATTGAGGCCGAACTGACGAGATCCCTGCCCCCCAGTTGTAGGGCCTCTTTGACAGAATTTCCCCCAATTGCTTCTTTCCTCTTCCATTGCTGCACCCACTCCTTCTATCTCCTGCTGGACCTCTTCTGAGGATTTAGAGGGGTTCCAGAGGGTCTCCTTCCCAAGCCCAGACTGGGGAGCCCTCCAGAGTGTATCCTAACACAGATGCAGCCTGGATGGGCCAGCGGGCTATGCTTGGGGCCTGATGCCCAAGTAAGCCTTCCTTTCCTGCCCTCAGCAGTCTAGCACTAGGAACTAATAGGTCATTAATTGACTCCCTCCGCCCCAGATTCCAAAGCCCATAGGAACAAGCAGTTGTTCAACCAGGAAAGAGCTATTTAAACTTACCTAAAACAGAGCACATTTATTAGTATAGGAATGCTCTTAGAGCTGCTTTAGAAGGCTGTGTTTCGCATTTGTTTCTTCCCATTTGTCCCCACTGATCACAGTTTGGCTAGTCGTCTCTCCAACATCACCCTGAAGAAACCCTCTCTCATCTATCCCTGATCTACATTAGCACTGATTTAGTCAGCAAATATTTACTGAGCACCTACTATGCACTAGCCACTCTACTAGCAGCCTCTGGACTAGTACCCTCCATTAACTCCTAGGGATATCTCCCCCATGCACTGAAAAACCATAGATACTGGAGTCCAGAGGTAGTGGGCCCAGCCTGGGGCAGGTCTTCAAACTCTAGGAGCCTAGGCAACAGACGTGCTGATGGGAATTGTTTTAAGAGTCAAAGGAATTTCAGAAGGTTCTCAAGGAAATAACTTTTAAATGTTGGCTATCAGGCCATTTTACAAGGGAGATTGCCACTTTGCCTAGCGTGGTTGCTCTGGGGTGTGGATGAACTGGTATGGGACTGCAGGACTGCTGCGGCAGCAGGGCATCCATCAGATGATCGCAGGGACGGAACAGGTCTCTGGGTTCAGATTGTCAAAGTCCTTGCTTCTATTACAGACAAGAAAACCTTTGATATGATGTGAAATGCTTTCCCAAGGAGGTTCTCCCCATCCCTCAGGAGCAGATCTCATGAGATTATTTCCAAGATTTTTCCCTACTCCGTAAGAAATATGAGGTCATCATCCATTTCCCAACACATGCCTCAACCAATCAGACACACACTCCCGCCCTGCCTAATAATTACTGCCTAAGGAAACTACAGACTAAGGAAATAGTAATTGATGGAAAAGAGAAAGCCTTTAGAATTGCAATAAAATACCTTTCTGTATTTAGTGGGTGTGGATGGATTTAGCAGAAGAAGCAATACAGCTGTTTCCTTCTTTGTTATATTGGGTGATGAGGCCCCTGGTCAATCAAAGCTATGTTTTCACATGGGTTCCATTCTGCATCATTGTAATAGGTCTCTTGCTCTGGAGATACCTTTCTTCAAGTTTATTCTAATGGTGCTAAGAAGTGGAAAGTAGAGGTGGAACAAGAGTGGGGATGAAAACCAAGGGCATAGTGTTGCCCGTGAGTTTGTTAGGTAATGCGCAATCAAAAGAAGTTCTCCAGCCCAGGTACAATTCAGAAAGAGTTTAATAAACAGCCGCTAAACATTGCACCAAAGCATTTGGAAACAATTTCTACAGAGAGGCAAAGGTCAGGCTTCCATTCTAAATTTCTTAAGACAATCATTAACAGCCCCACCCACCCCACCCCCCATCCCCACATATCCACAAGACTATACTCTTCTATTCATGAATTTACCTACAGATACAGTCTTAGAAAGAATGGGACTGGCATGCGTTATCCCAGCAATGGCAAGGAAGCAGGGGATGGGGGAAGGACAGATGAAAAGGCAGCCAGCAGCTAGTGATAGACCCCTTAGAAGCTTTGTTCAGGAGGTGGGCAGGGAGTCTCTGCTTGTGGTGCCATCTGTGGCTTTACATTAGGTTTCTGGACCACTCTGAGCTAGTGTAGGTATTCAGATCCAAAGTGGCTGGGGCTGCCATCTTAAACACTTGAGCTGTGATCATTAGAAGTGGTCTCCTTAGATGACATATTGTGACTCTCTAAAAACCTTTTAGGTGTCCAACCTAACTGCACTCAGGACCCAGTAGGCCCAGTAAGACTGTGCTGATTTCAGAGGTCAAGGTGGACCTAGAGTCTCAGTTCTGTCTTCATTTAGGCTGTTGGAAGAGGTGCATAATACTTCTTGATTACAGTTGTAAGGAGCCTTGGCAAGTCATTCAAACTTCAGGAATCAGTTTATCTACCTTACAAAAACTTCCCAGTTATGCCTGTGCCTTTTACTCACATTGAGATTAAGAATAAATGACATCAACTGGTTTCTAGATAATATATTATAAAATCGGTAATAAAGTTAATGATTTAATTGACTCAAAAATAGACTAGAGATATTTATATAGGTCTCCAATTCATCCCTTCTAGAATCAGCATCAACAGAGGACCAGAGATCCCTGACACAGTGGGAGCAAAGTTCCTGGGCCTGAGCTAGGGTCAGGGGTATGGCAGGTATGGAAGGAAGAATGTGACTTTTGCCTGCCAGTGGCCCTCTCTTTTCAGCCAGACATCAAACCCCAAATACAACCCCAGTGGCAAACATCTTACCCTTTCTAGTATTTGACTAATTGCCCTGGCAGGGAGGTGACTTTCCTATCTTGCCCATCTTTTAAAATCCTTGTGTAGGCATTTGATCTGGATTTTTCTTTCTATTTGTCCCTTTTTTTGTTTAAATAAAAAAATGCTTGGTCCTTTTTCCTGAAGAGTTACAGGTGGCAATGAGTCCGAATTTGGCAGTGCCTAGTTGGCTACAAGGGAGGCAAAGAGATTGAGGGCTGCGGGCTTTCCTGGAGGAGAGATACACCAAGGAGGGTTCTTTTCCTGACAGGCTGGACATGGCAGGGCACCAGCCACCTTGGTGCCAGGTTGGTCCAGTTAGCTCTATCTGTTTTGGACATACATGGTGGACAGTGGTGGGCCTCCATTGTCCCCACTAACCTCCAAGCCAAGAAAGGAGTTGGGGGCCGTACTCAGAGGTTCACACTGGCTCCTGCCTTTACCATCAGTACTTATGCCTAGTGGGTCCTGCTTTAGGCAGGGCAAGTGGCAGGCAGGACTCCATGGAAGAGCCCAGCCTGGCTCCCTAGTGAGTCAGCGTCATCTGATCTGGACAAGTCAACAATTCTCCTCAATCTGGACTTCTTGAACAGCCAAGGTTCCCACTCCAGGGAGTGGAGTATCCTGTTCTTTCTGCAATGGGCAGAGTGTAATAAAATACATGCGGTGCCCTCAGCTGGGGGAGATTGGCAGACTAAGATGTGCAACTGGACAAACGGCAGTGTTTGGCTCTGATGGGGGTACACTCAGCAATGTTAGAGGGACAATTATTTTTTCCTTGTTACTGTTTTTTCATTGCCATCCATAAATATATTTGAGAGTCACGCTTGGTGGGGGGTTAAAAAGAAGAATCCTGAAACACATGAAGGGGAGCCCCAGGGTTTGGGTGCCTGAATGCTTCATAGGGTATACAGTGCTCTGGTTGCTGGGCGGCCACCATTATCTACTGTTTGCGGATCATGCCCTTGATAGCTGACTCCCGGTTGACATATGTAGCCCAATAGACCAGATTGAATATGGCAAAGAGCACAGGAAAGATAATGCGGGAAATTTTGTCAACCTTGCTGACACTGTTGTAGGTCTTGGTCTCTGTGGGGGTTTCTGGCACATAGGTGGCCTTGGGTGAACCAATGACTGTTGGGGTTGAGGAGGCACTGGCAGCAGCAGCCTTGGAGATGGTGGAGAACTCAGTATCCTTGGCCAGGTTGATGGGATAGGTGGTCCCCACGATGTTGAAGGTCGTGCTGCTTTTCTTTGTCGGGGCTGCTGGTGTTTTCTTCTAGGGGTCAGAAAAAGAAGGGGAAAGGGGAGGAACAAAATAAAAGTGAGTTAATTCATCACACAGAGCACCGTCAGAGGTTTCAGGGAAGAGGAGTCATGAGGGAAGTTAAGAAACAGGAGCCATGAAGCCAATAGCACTGAGTAGCCAGGTTTGTGTCCAGGGATAATTGAAGATGAATTTGAAAACAGAAAAGTTGCATCACCCTGGCTTTACCATTTACTAGCTATGTGGCTTTGGCCAAATCATTTCTCCTCTTTGAGCTTTGCTTTCTTCATCTGTAAAATGAGGATTGAAATAATGGGCAGGGTTGCCAAGTGGATCAAATGAGAGAATGGCTATCAAAATCACTAGTCAACTGTGAAGTATTGGTCACATGTGGGGTCCTATATACCATGTGCTTTGATCCTCACAGCAACTCTATGAGGTATGTGGGTGAGATTACTCCCATTTCACAGATGAGAAAACTCAGCTTGAGACTGAGTGGCAGAGCCCAAACTAGCAACCTGGGCTCCTGACTTTTACCCAGGGCTGCACCGTGCTGCTTTCTACAGGCACGAGGCACTTTTTGGTTATCCGAGAAAAAACTCCACAATGCCGCGACCATCAAGGGGTACACCTCCTGTGAGGAAGAGAGCTCGGTGAGTCTATAAAGTCATTTTGTCTTAAAGACACAATAAAAGCTACGGAGTGTTGACATGCATCATTAGCAGAGCATTCCACCCTTCATGCACTGTAAATGTGTTCAGTAAGCTAGGGGGCATACCGGGGTTTTCCACCCTTGCAAGGCTGCAGGCAGGAGCCACAGCCTACCCATGGAACTCTGCAAATGGCTCCCTCTGATATAGAAGACAGTGGCAGCTGGGGGCTCACTACGGCACTGTCCTTGGACCTATTCTTCAGAGTTAAAAAAAATACCCAATGGGAAACACGCACACCTACACGTGCACCTGCCCATTGTTTTCATACATAGGCACCTGTGCATAAATGGACCTTCACTGGGGCTCCCTTCATGCAGAGGAGAGAAGAAGAGACAGCTCACCTGGATCAGAATAGAGATACAGGCTGAGGAACCGGGGAAGCCATGGGTATTTCAAATACGAGCAGGGTCACCCATGGTGGACAGGTTTCGGCAGAGGTTACAGACTAAGACAGACCAGGAAGGAAGGCCTGGCAAGCTACTTCTAAAAATTAGGCAGAAAAAACCCTGTGGATCACAACAGAATATTGTCTGATGTAGAGCTGGAAGATGACCCCCCCCACCCCAGGTTGGAAGGTACTCAAGATAGACAGTGGCCACAACAATGGACTCAAGCATACTAACAATTGTGAAGATGCCGCAAAACTGAGCAACGTTTTGTTCTGTTGTACATGGGCTCAGCATTTCTCAAGCTGAAAAAAACTAAAAAAAAAAAAAAAATTAAGTTGCAAGTTGCAATACTGAAGGATTCTATGGGAAAAATATTGAACCAAGCGGGAAGCATCAAAAGAACATGGAAGGAATACACAGAGTCACTGTACAAAAAAAGAATTGGTCGATGCTCAACCATTTCAAGAGGTAGCATATGATCAACAACTGATGATACAGAAGGAAGACATCCAAGCTGCACCGAAGGCACTGGTGAAAAACAACCCTCCAGGAACTGATGGAATACCAACTGAGATGTTTCAGCAAATGAATGCAATGCTGGAAGCGCTCATCATCTATGCCAAGAAATTTGGAAGACCGCTACCTGGCCAATTGACTGGAAGAGATCCATATTTGTGCCCATTCCAAAGAAAGGTGATCCAACAGAACGGAGAAATTACCGAACAATGTCATTAATATCACATGCAAGTAAAATTTTGCTGAAGATCATTCAAAAGCGGTTGCAGCAGTACATCGACAGGGAAATGCCAGAAATTCAAGAAGGATTTAGAAGAGGACGTGGAACCATGGATATCACTGCTGATGTCAGATGGATCTTGGCTGAAAGCAGAGAACACCAGAAAGATGTTTACCTGTGTTTTATTGACTATGCAAAGGCATTTAACTGTGTGGATCATAATAAATTATGGATAACGTTGTGAAGAATGGGAATTCCAGAACACTTATTTGTGCTCATGAAGAACCTGTACATAGACCAAGAGGCAATCGTTCAAAAAGAACAAGGGGATACTGCGTGGTTGAAAATCAGGAAAGGTGTGCATCAGGGTTGTATCCCTTCACCATACTTCAATCTGTATGCTGAGCAAATAATCTGAGAAGCTGGACTATATGAAGAAGAAAGGGGCATCAGGATTGGAGGAAGACTCATTAACAACCTGCAATATGCAGATGACACAGCCTTGCTTGCTGAAAGCGAAGAGGACTTGAAGCACTTACTGATGAAGATCAAAGACTACAGCCTTCAGTATGGATTACACCTCAACATAAAGAAAACAAAAATCCTCACAACTGAACCAATAAGCACCATCACAATAAACGGAGAAAAGATTGAAGTTGTCAAGGATTTCATTTTACTTGGATCCACAATCAATGCTCATGGAAGCAGCAGTCAAGAAATCAAATGACGTATTGCATTGGGCAAATCTGCTGCAAAAGACCTCTTCAAAGTGTTAAAAAGCAAAGATGTCACTTTGAGGACTAAGGTGGGCCTGACCCAAGCCATGGTATTTTCAATTGCTTCATATGCATGAGAAAGCTGGACAATGAATAAGGAAGACCAAAGAAGAATCGACACCTTTGAATTATGGTGTTGGCAAAGAATATAGAATATACCACAGACTGCCAGAAGTAGGAACAAATCTGTCTTGGAAGAAGTAGAGCCAGAATGCTCTTTAGAAGCGAGGATGGTGAGAATTCGTCTCAGGTACTTTGGACATGTTATCAGGAGGGACCAGTCCGTGGAGAATGACATCATGCTTGGCAAAGTGGAGGGTCAGTGATAAAGAGGAAGACCCTCAACGAGATGGATTGACACAGTGGCTGCAACAATGGGCTCAAACATAGCAACAGTTCTGAGGATGGCGCAGGACCGGGCAGTGTTTCATTCTGTTTTACATAGGGTCGCTATGAGTCAGAACTGACTTGATGGCACCTAAGAACAACAACATGGGGTCACCATGAGTCTGAGCTGACTCAATGGCAGCTAACAATAACAACAAATTTCATCCACCTCATGTTTTCTGTCTGGATGTTACTCTGCTTCCCAGTATCCCGTGCTTGGCCTCCTTTGCTCCCCCACTCCCTACTTGTTTCTTCCCTAGGATTCTCTACTCCTGCCTTCTCTTACTGACCCCTTTCTCCTAATCTCTTTCCATTTATTTTCTTCTTTACTTCTGAGTCCCCTGATTTTTTTCTTTTCTCCTTTAGACCTCCATGCCATTTACCACCCAGAGCCTAATACCAACTTTTGCCCCATATTTGCTGAATGGTCAGTGGTTGCTTCAGCTGAGAATCTGCCACAGATACCTTGACTTCACTACAATCCTGTTGGAGAAGCCATGATGACAGATGCTGGTCCCTTCCCTGCCTCTTGATGAGAGGAGATCTGAGGATGTTTAATGAATGCTAATTGGCAAAGTAGAGAGCTAGTGAGCTCCTGGTAGAAATAGTATCAGCCAGTGAAATCCAAGGTCTTGTTTGTCTATTAGTCACCACATTCCCACATTCCCTCTGTGCTAATGTCATGAGCAGCTGCTACTGACCTTGAAGGTCCAGCCTCTTCAAGCCACATCCATGCTGAGCTGGTCTCCTATGATGAGCTATAGCCAGCTTTTCCAGGCTGCTGTGCCACTATCAGGCCTCCTCCAAGTTAAGGTCAATGGCAGATGGTGCCCAAGGCCTGTGCTACTGGGCCAAGAACTACACTAGGTATTTAGGGATAAGTGGAAAAGTTAGAAGATGAGTCAGCTTCAGTCCCTGTCTTCCAGGAGCTCACAGTCTAGTAAAGGAGGCAGCCTCATGGAGAGATCATTGCCATAGAATGTGATGGGAGTTCTAACAAATACCTGCAGAGTGCTATGGGAGTTCAGAAGATGGGGGAACAAATTACCTGTAGGTGGTGGAAAAGGCAGCTCAGAGAAGGTGATGGGGCTTGTGAGCTGTGTCGCAAACCATGAGCAGGAGCTCATCACATGAAGAGGCAGCCAAGGCCAGTGCCCAAGCTGCAGGCACTGTTTGGGGATGAGGAGGAGTTTGCTGTGGCTGGATCACAGTGTGCAGGGCAAAGAATGACAGGCAGGGGCCCAATCTCAAAGAGCCTGGTCTGCCAGGCTCTCCTACCCTGCCTTTCTGCCCTGGCTCCAGGGTTTTTAGCTGAGGAAGAGGAGAGGGACCAATGAGGGGGTGTTGGTTTAAGTAAATGAACAGTCTGAATAAAAGGACATTTTAAAAACAATATCGTTCTTTCTCTTTGACAATTACAGTCACATTGCTACAAGTGGAAGGAGGACAGAACTCTAAGGCTTCTAAGAACCTTGTAAATGCTTTAAATACTACATGGGACTCATTTATAATTAGCAAATTCATTGTGTGAATAGAGTCCTGCTGCTAAATGACTTTGCTATTAAATAAAAGAGCACTTTACTTGTTTTCCTGCTTACTTATTAATTTCCTTAGTAATCTCTTTTTTCATGGGAAGACAAAAAAAAAGAAAGAAAAGCAAAAGAAAAAAGAAAATCTACCACTCTGACTTTGCTAGAATCTTTCACATACTTTCTCTCAGTTAGTCATCTCATAAGCTGGTTATGACCAAGTCTCCCAAACAATCATTCTGAACAGCAAACACTTTCTTTAGCTCTGTAGGCACTACGTGTTCCATAGGTGGGGGAGAAGCAGGAGTTACAGATGTTTTTTTAATAATAAAAGAGAATTACCTTTTAATTTCTCTCACCCTTTCCAACATGACACATTTTCACATTTTCATCAGTCACTACACTTTTTACTTAAATTTTCAAAGAAGAAACCCAACGCAAATGTTGTAGTGTTGAGAAGAAAGGAGCAAGAGGCAGAGAGT